TCAGCGAGAAGGAAAGCGAGAAAGACAGGACTAGCCGATGCAAGTATCAGAAAATCGTACCGTCTATAGACGTAAAGAGGGTGTACATAGAGAGTTATCCGATAACACCTAAGCTGTTTTCTCGCGACTTTGTACAGCATGGAAAGCCTGCGAACGGCCAAGGGACGTGGGGTCAGTGTTGGAATAAGTGTTCGCTCTCCCCAGCTGAGCGCAAAAGTTCATGTTCACTCCAAGCAAGACAGCGCTGGACAGGATGTAGCTGCTTACGACGGCTATGGTCCAGTGGATTTAACATCTTCTAGGAACTTAGTTACTCGTCAACACTGAGTAGTAGGCCCAGAATTTCAGCAGGATCAGTCGACATGTTGGATTCTATCCTTGGCCGAGCCCGCGTGCCTCCTATCCACATCCGTGCCTTAGCTACTCAATCCAGTGGTTCATTAACCTCCTGTGGACTTCGGAAGTTAACCTCCCCCATGGCATGAACAACAGTGTTCGACGTAAATTGGCCAGATCATCTGGCGGCCAGATTCCGGCCCAGATGCCTTCGAAGATGTTGTAGAGAAGTGTTCCTGCTGAACGGTGCAGCTGAGGATCTCAGCCTGAGATGGTCGGATGATCACCAGGCGATGCAGCGGCCCTAGCTGATCCCACAACTTTCAAGTTCTTACCAGCACCTCCCGACTGATGAGCAGTTAGAGTGGTGTTGATGCCCTCCTCTACCGTTGCCACTTGCCAAAACGTTGCACAAGACCCCCCTGGCCAGTTTCAAGTTCGTGACATTTCTATAAGGCGGCGAGAAGTCTACAATGGGACTCAAGGAGATATTTGTCGTACAGTGTTGAGGTATCTTCTCTATGCGCGCGACTTTTCTTCTTCTTCCGCCACTAATTTTTACTTCGCGCCCTTCGGGTCACCAAAAGGTAGCAGTGGGGAAGCGGGAAGGTGCTGAATTCGATTATCGCGAAATGCTGCTGGTATTGCTCGGGTACATGGACGATATGAGCCCACAGGGATACTCTCTTTGACGATTGGTGATGAGCTTTGCCTTGGTGTGCGGAGTGCTGCTTCGTTTCAGGTTCGGGATGTCAACTACGTAGTTGAGCCTGATCAAGGCTGGTTGAAGATGGTTACCACTCTCAAGTATTTTGCGAGCCTGCACCTCACTCATTGTTAGATGTCGCACAAAAAAATCATTGATCGTATCGAGGCAAATCGCCCGAACTTTCTTCCGGTGATTCCGCTTGAGATTCTCGCAGTACCGCTTCGGCTTCTGCCTCTGGGAAATCATATTCGGGGTTTCGAGGAGGGGACCACGTACACATGTCGGAGCTAAAAGCCGCTGATAGAGCTGTGTCGGAGTGAGCTTGAAGTGGGCCGCCTCCAGAACCTCATGCATTTTCTGCTTCGGATAATCTGAGATCTTTACCGTCTCGAAACCACTGCTTGGATCACTACGGAGAACACGAGAATGATCGGCGGAATTCCGGAAAACGTTGACCTCATAAGTCGGCGAAAGAGGTAGGGTAATGAGTATTATCCGTAGTTGTATTTTACAGTTCTTATGCCGCGTGCACCTCAAATTCCAGTACTCATCTGACATATTCTTTCTAGCTCTCCTTGAATTAAGAAAGGAGAAAATAGCGCTGCGATCATCAGTGATGATCACAACGCTATTTTCTCTATCGAAGCAAGGCGCGATAGAGTAACGACAAGTTGTCGTTACTGATTCATCACCACACTGTGCCGAAACTCGTCGACGCAAATCTTCAATATCTCTCAAGCTCTCACGCTTTTCGCCAGCAGCCAAAGTCAAACTTCCGACGAAGCTCCACCCCGATCCCCACCGATTACCATGATCG